CTTTATACGGTGCAACCTGCTCGTAAAATCAATATCTTACTTTAAACAGTGATTATAAAACTAATCTTTACTACCCAAAAAAAAAAAGTAAAACAACATAGAAACAAGATAAAGAAGATGATGCTCTCTTTTGTGATTATAGAAGCACCTGTTTAGAGATGAAATCGATAACTTGTTTCTCAGAGAGATTGCTCTCAGGCTTCCGTGTCACGTAAGCCATCGGATATTGTCCTGCTTCTTTATCCGGAAACCTTTGGCGCGATACACAAAACCAAAACACATAAATAGAAGAAAAAGTATATGTTGTTTTGATGTTTTAAAGGCAATAGTCATGGTGATTGAAGGAAATACATAGAAAGTTATGAAAGAGTTTACGGAATAACAGCTGCATCAAGAATGTCTGGATGCATGAGTAACTAGAAGAGCCTCTAGTTCAGCTGGAGGCACCTGTTTATCAATTCTAAATCATTAGATCTTTTGGTTTTTATAATGTTTACATCATTGATCTATAAGAAGAATAGCGACCTCTAACCTGATAGCCTTTGTATTTGATTAGTTCTTTCAATCGATCCACAACAAAAAGAAACCCATCATCATCGATATAACATAGATCTCCAGTTTTGAGCCATCCTTCCAAATTTATGGTTTCATTTGTAGCTTCTTCGTTTCTAAAGTAACCTAATTATAAGCCAAAATAAACATCAAAACTATTTAAGACGATGAGCTATTGCATTGAAATCTGCATAATGCGTATTAAACCAAAAGAACAAAAGTGTTATCATTCATTTTTTCTCCACTTACACATTCATTGCTACAAAGTTTATGTAAATTTCCTACTATATAACATCCATTCATCATACAAAAAAAAAAAAAAAACCGCATGGCTGTATGCTACAAATTTATTGCTACCTAACATTTTTAACTCGTATACAATACATACAAAATTCAATTACCTGCAGAATCCATAAGTACTTTTAAACTTGAAATGAAATACGACTTGTTTTTATCAAATAAATTTAAACTTGATCATAATAAATCTTTTTAAACTTTCAGAATAAAAATAAACCGATACTATTGCGAGCCGAATCTCTTAGAGCATGATTATAGGTAGTAAATATGATTGGAGTAATATATGCATTTTATAATATTAATTGTGTTGGGATTGATGAAT